TATATATATATATATATATATATAATATAAATGAAAAAAAATATTTATTTAAAATAATTAAAATTAGCTTAAAATTGATTTCATATTGATCTCACTTAAAGTGTCCCAGGTCTAACGCATCACCTGTTAATAACAGATTCCTAAATCGTCGTTTTAAAATGAAAATTCTAATACTAAAATGTTGAGGCTATAATTATATACAATTAAAAACTATTATAGCCTCAACATTTTGATATTAGAATTTTTTTCTCAAACTTCAGAAATCTAGTAGGTGATGCAATAGGTCTAGGACACTATGTATATTATTGTATATAATAAATCTCGAATTGAATGAACTGTTCTTATAGGCAGATGCCAGGCAGATGATGCACCTGTCGCCAAAATAACAGGCGCTGTGACGTGTGACATATACAGAATTTTGTAATTAATGTTGTAATTGCTAAATAACCAACGGTGAAATTTGGTAAAAAATCATAAACATTTTTTATCTTCTCAATTCTGTAGAATTAAATTTAAAAACGATCAAAAGCTTGTTAAAATACAAACTTCGAGCTCCAAAATGCTTCTTTAATTTTTTACGATGGTATTTCATCAAATTTTAATGCTAGTTGGTTATGAGCTATGCAAGCTGTTTAGCTTCAATAATGCGTAATTCAGTCAAGAAAAGTCATAAGAAATTTTTTTAAAAAGGAGGTAATCTTTGTACTGTTTTACAAAAATATTGAACTTTTTGAAAAAAAAAAACTTTTTATTAAACTGTGCACTGTTAAATGTACGTAATTGTAAAAAATACAACATGATATTTGTTAAGATACAGAACTATAAAAACAAAAATTTTTTTGAAAAGCAGTCAAAAGCATGCTAAAATATAAGTTTCAAGCTTTAAAATGTTTTTTTATTTTTTTTTCTGCGATGATTTTTTACCGACTTATGGTGACCTGAATATTATGCAATTTTAAATTCCATGTTTGGAAACTTTTCGGGGGTAGTGTATATACATGAAATATAATAATTATACAGTAATAAACGGAATTTCAATATGAAAAATCATTTAATTACTATTAATAATCATTTAGTACAAAAAACAGTTTGAAATAGAATAGCATTTCTGTTCTATTTTATTTATTATATTTATTGATCCTACAAATACAAATACACATATATTTGTTAATTCTACAAATACAAATTTATAATATTTTTATTTCGAATTCAAAATCAACTTATCTTTTGCTTATATACTAAGAAAAAAATGTGCATAGAATATAATTGCTCTTATTAAACAAATGTTTTTTTATAAACTTTATACAGTCTAGTACGAGTACGTTTTGCTGTAATATAACTCAATTGTTATTTCGTTTTATCTCAAATAATTGAAAATAAACTTTTTTTAGAGATTTTACCAATAAATACTTAATTTTTATAAATGAAAAATGAAAGTTATTACTCATATTATTTTCATTGTGACATTATGTCATTTCGTTACCGGTTCCGCCACTTGAAACGTTGCGCATCGCATGGTACCGAAATAACAAATGTTATAATGAAAAATATAATCAAATTAACGTTTTGTAGTGCAATATTATTCACATTTGATTCAATTTGGAGTTAAATTTGGAGTTAAATAAATTATTGAAATGTAACTGACAATGATTTTATAACGATGTGAATAAAGATTTTATTCATTTCATTTTTATGTACTAATTTTTCCTTAAGAGTCTGACAATTATTTTCGGTTTCTATGAAGAAAAATACATAAGAAAACATAGAAATAGAACAATTCCCGAGCGGTAGAGAAACCTTTGAATTTCTATCCTCCTTTGATGAACAGAATAAAAGAGTTAATAAATTAATAGAATTCTAAAACAAAGTGGCATAGATAATAATTTCATATCTAGAAGCACCAGGAAATGGTTCACTTTTCCATACATACACGGGATTTCTAAAGATATTTTTTTATATTAGGGGATACTTTAGACATGATCTCATCATAAGAATGTCCTCTTTGGCGTGAAGATCAGGTAAAAAAGGACAGAGAGCAAGATATTTCATTACCTTACTTCCCCTCTATTCTTTTCTAGTCAGAAAGAGAAAGCGAACGGCATCCATTGTCCGTCTTTTTCTACCTAGTCTTCACGTTTCAAACCTCACGCGCTCGGTCTATTCTTATTATAATATTAATTATATATATAGGGGACATTCTCCCCTCTTAGATAATCTTGGCCTTGACATACGTTATAGAGGTAAGGGTATGACGATCAACTTTTTTTTTATAAATTAATTGGCGGTCTCATATGGTTTTCGAGATATATTTATATAAAACTCATTTTCAAAATTTTCTTATTTTCCCTATGACACCCTGTATATGATAGATAGTACACATAAGTGATTTTCAAAAGGTTTTACGTGGCGGTCACTATTTGTTCAAAAGTTATTAATAAATAAAGTTTAAAAAATAATGTCTTATCTGTATCATATATAATATTAAAAGCTGCCATATACTCTTCCTGTATACGGACGCACGACTTTCCACATGAAACGAGATCCATCCCAAATGCCCTCTGCTTAGGGGCGATCGACTTTTCACGCGAAGCGACCACCTCACCGGCTTTCCTCTCTCTAACAGGAGCTCAGATAACATTTATGTTGCATAAGATATCTAAAAGATATCTTTTAGATATCTTATGTCTAAAAGATGTCTAAAAGATGCCTAAAAGACGTCTTTTAGATATCTTATACAACATGCATGTTATGTGGGAGAGGAGGATGAGGTGGACCTTGCTTCGCATAGAAAGTTATATGCGAAGAGAGAGGGAGGGGGAGGGGAGAGAGGGAGAGAGAGAGAGAGAGAGATAGAGTGGAAGTTGCTTCGCATAAAAAATCGTATGCCCCTAGATAGAAGAGAAATGGGGTCAACCTTTTTTCGCATGGAAAGTTGTGTGCGTCAGTAGCAGAAATAAGACATTATTTTTTTAATTTTATTTGTTAATAACTTTTGAACGAACAGTTACCACCACCTAAAACTTTTTGAAGATTACTAGAGTCCTGACCTTTACAACATGTCAAGATCATTGCGACGTCCGTTAATTCGAATAATTACCGAATATTTATTACTGGTAGCAATATATATATATATATAT